AACTACTTCTATCAATTTCTTCTATTATATGAAACATACATGTAAAAATGAAAAGACTTTGCCTCCTTTCCTCAACCTGAGTCACTGCTAAAAGTTTCTGGTCTAGCCTTCAAGATTTTCTCTGCTCTCGCAAAAGATTCTCCCCCTTTCTCTCTTTCTCTCTCTCATCTCATCTACCTGCTTGTACTATATACACAATTCACCAGGTCAAAGAAAGGGTAGTTCCTATTTTTAATGCATTCCACTCAAGCCTCACTGTGGTCAGCTGCTGTCACAAGACCACACTAAAAGAATTTGTGTTTCATGCTCCCTTCTAGAGGGTTTGGTCACCATCAGGAGCTCCTTCTCGAGAGCTCATTTATTAGAGGTCATAACATAAAACCCTGGACAGTGGTTTCGCAAAACCCGTGTGGTGCTGTTTCCAAATCCACAAATATCGTCATTTCTTCCTGAGACTTAAATCTGAGTGTTCGTGTCTATTGGCCTCCTGGGGTGCAGATACTGTCACCTGCTGTAATTACTTCCCCTCTGTCGATCACAGGACTTGACACCTGCCATACGTGTGATACATGAATTATTTACGGAAGGGTAGGCTAACAAGCTAATCCAGAGGTATTTGGTGAAAACTTTAAAAGAAGATAAAACTAAAGATTTTATGTGACAAAAGATACTCAAACCTGCTTCTCAAATATCTACCTGTACAGGATGGGATTTGTTCATCTCCAACATCAAAGTTCTCCCACCACTTCTAAGAGGAATGTACCAAAATCTACACTTGGAATCAGACACTCAGTGAAGAATAATTGAGTTAAATAAAACTCCGAAAATCTCAACAATTTCCACCGCTTATTCTCGATGGTCCACACAAACAGAGGCTGCCTTTTTCTCAAAGGCGTTGATCTAAGCCTCTATAATTAGAGCTTCGGTGCTGATAACACATCAGGCTTCACAGCGCAGGATGCCCCAAAGGTGGGGCCAACAGCGCAGATGCTCACACTTGACATTTCAGATGGCGAAATTGCCTTTTTCAGTACCTAAGGCATGTTGAAACCCTGTAATTTTGTCTCTCTGGCAACTCGCAATTTTTCATTTGCTTTTATTTACTCAGGAACCCCAGGGGACGATGACTCGGTGCTGAGTTCGCAGCCCCGCGGCCATCCCCAGGCTTTCTCACGCACGCCCCAGCTCCACCTTCCCTTTATCCGAGGCTCGCAGCCCATGCCTAACGGTATTTGAAGATGCAACACAGGTACACTGAACGGAGAGTTAAGAAAGTGTTTCCCTCTGCCTTCTCACTTGAATCCTCTCATTTCGTTTTCCTTCTGACCCCACCATTTCGGAGTCTTTATACTCTGTGACCTGGGCCTCAAACAACTCACTTCTCATTAGCCAAGGAGGTCCTGATGTCCTTGGGGCCCATTCATTCATCTGTTCATTCATGGACGACGTACTGAGTATTTCCTGCACATCACACGCCAAGGATATAAAAGTATCTAAGGCAGCCACAGTTTTTGAAAATGCAGTCTGGCAGACAGAAAGGGCACATCATCCATTAATTATGACCCATCATGACAAGATCTGTAGCAGAAGCAAGGATCATGCGCTAGGAGATCCTGGATAAAAGAGTACTTACGTCGGATCAGGAGGGTCGGAGAAGGTATCAGAACTGTTCTGCCAAGGCAAGAGTGGCCTCATTATAGTCCTCGGCCACGATCTCCTGTTTACGCCTCTCCCGGGTCTGCCATCATCAGTGGTTTATTTTTCTTCCCTCCCTCGAAAAACTAAACTCCATATGGGCACAGAATGTGTTCTGAATCTTTGCACCCCTAAGAGCCATCATAGCATCAGATACTAATTAATTAAGTAGTTAACGCACTAACTTTCCTACTCAACAAATCTACTGAGCATCTACCAAGTGCTGGGCACTCCCCCAGGCATACAACAGGCTCATGAGAATATGTCCAGTTCTTGCTCTCACGGAGTGGATGGTCTAGGAGGCAGGACAGAATCACATGGGTCTCTGGTCTGTTTGCCCTATCCTACAGGGCAAGCCAGGGAAGGCTGTTCTGTTAGATGTCTTCTGAGCAGAGACCCAAAGCGAACGAGGGCATGAGCTGGGTGGATACCTGCAGAGCCGAGTTCCAAGTGGAAAAGACTGAAGGGAGGGGGTGCACCTGGTGGGAGCGTGGCGGGCACAGTAAGGAGCCGTGAGAACGAGAGGGGAGGAAACGGGGCGGGGGCCATGGTGGGGGCAGGTCATGGTATGGCTCTATGCAGGACTTTGGTTTTTTGTTTGTTTGTTTGTTTTTTGAGTGGGAAGGAAAGTTTCTGGAGTATTCTGATGGAGGAGAGACGCTGACTTGACTTCTGTGTGGCAACAGCCTGCAGGTAGGTGAGGATGGGGCGGGGAGATGAGAGAGGCTGTTGCTTATCCTGTGAAAGGGATGATGCTTTAGGAGAGGGTGGCAGTGATCCAGGTGAAGGGACACAGTGGCATCTGGCCAGAAAGCAAGCACTGATTTGCTGACTGACAGGATGCACTTCTTTGTGCTCATTGCAGGCAAATGCATTTTATATATGAAGTCATGGGTGTGCCTCTCTCCCTCTCAAACACACACACGCTCAGTAATAATACATTTTTGGCAATATTAACAATGAATTCACATGATTTGTTTACAGAAAAGGTCTGTCTTCCAGCAGTTGAATTAGAACGACAGTGTGTTCTTTGACAACTGAAATGAGCACCCTGCAGGATCGCTGGGGAACAGGTGTGACCAGAACCTTGTATCAGCAGAGGCCAGAGTGGAAGCTCTGTACTGTCTGTTACTGTGTGAACCTGGCCAAATTGTTTCATACTTCTGTTTCTGTTTCTAACTAGGAAAGTCACATAGGCGTATTCCCAAGCACACAGAGCTATGGTAAATAAAAAATTAATTTATATGAAAATGCATCATAAGGAGCCTGGGTGGCTCAGTTGGTTAAGCGACTGCCTTCAGCTCAGGTCATGATCCTGGAGTCCCAGGATCGAGTCCCACATCAGGCTCCCTGCTCAGCAGGGAGTCTGCTTCTCCCTCTGACCCTCCTCCCTCTCATGCTGTCTCTCTCTCATTGTCTCTCGCAAATAAATAAAATCTTAAAAAAAAAAAAATTAAAAAAAAAAAGAAAATGCATCATAAATAATACACTATAATGTGCATATTGATCAATATCTAACATAGCAAAGACACTTCATGGCTTAAAAGTTATTTTCATATCTATCTGATCATCACAATGCATGCTGTGATGTGTATTCATCACAATAAATTCTCTGAGTACAATAGCCCAGATAATATCCCCATTTCACAGATGGGAAAAATGAGCCTCGGTGAGCTTAAGCATCTCCTCAAACTTCATGAAAGGAGTAAGTGTACATGAAGTTACATATGAGAGGAAAAGACCAAAAGTCGCTGGCATGGGATCAAATTCTCTCCTGAGCATCTTCTAACGGGGGACACAGAAGCAGGTGTAGACACTCCCAAGAAAAGAAAGCAGGGCCTGGCCTGGTCTCCTTCTGAACATGCTGATCACTGGACCTCCTGGTAGAGAACCATATTGACCAAGAGCAGCATGACCCTAGTCTAGCTAGCGTTGCTTATCATCATCAGACCTGGGATCTAGGAACTACCAAGGCTTGGATCCTTAGAAATTTCACGTAAGCCATGTAATGATCTGAGTCTAAAATGGAGAGGTTTCAAAACCAAAACACTCCAGAAAAGGAAAAAGTCATCTAGAAATCTCTCTTTCTGTCTCAGTCAATGCTGGAGAGAAACAGTTTACATTTCTTCTACAGACTGTCTCCTATCAATATTCTGAGTGGTTTTTCTATTCTGCTGAGTGCATAACATGATTGTCTGTACCCCCAGATATCTTGAGCCTTTGGTAGGCACAGGTTTCTCTTGTATGCAGTGCTTCTCAGCCTAGGCTGCAAATCAGAATCAGCTGGGGGAGCTCCCAGTCGCTACGTCCCAGAAAAATTAAGTCAGAATCTCCACGGACCGGGCTAAGGTTGGGAGGCAGGTGTTGGCATTTTACCACTCCCAGGTGATTCCTACGTGCAATCCAGGCTGAGAACCGGTGGTGTGTTCCGGAGCTCTGGGCTGTTTGATGCATGACCTTCTTTAACAGAGTTCAATGTACCGCAAAGAAATACAGCTCATCCTTGACCTTGGTAGATGACCCTAAGTTAGGTTTTTAATGTTATGTTAATTTTTATACTTTTCAAAATTAAGGCTTAATCATTAAATTAGTCCTAAAGACCACTAAATTGAATCCTTCTATTGACTTTTTAAGTGGACCCGTAAAAATTTTTAGCACATGAAACTAATATAATGTTTTTTTGTTTGTGTCATTATTTATTTGTTGATTCACTTAGCCATTCACTGCTTTGTCTCCAAAAGAATGTCGGTGAGCTTTAGTCACATTTATATGCGCCCGGTCACAAGCAGAGCATAGAGAAAGTTCACTGTAGCCAAAGACAACACGTAGAAGCAAAAGAATGCCTAATAGTCTATAGTGGATACAATATTATTTGCTTCATTTTCAAAAGCATCTCCTTTAGGGCAGAAGTTCTAACTCCATTTGTTAAAGATTACTTACAAACTCCAACGTAGTAATTAGGAAATACTGCAGCTCGTTATCCAAGCCTGATCATTTGAAAGTGTCATGTTTTGATGATCATCTGTCAGATGTACATTTGGGGGACGCCTGGGTGGCTCAGTTGGTTAAGCATCTGCCTTCGGCTCAGGTCATGATCCCAGGGTCCCGCATCGGGCTCCCTGCTCAGCGGGGAGTCTGCTTCTCCCTCTCCCACTGCCCCCTGCTCATGCACTTTCTCTCTCAAATAAATAAACTCTTAAAAAAAAAGATGTACATTTGGCTATTGAACTTTGAGCCCACGACTGATGTTCCTCCCTGTGTCGCCCCCCCGCCCAACCACCGTGCCCCGGTCAGAGGGTTCTCACCAGATGCAGCAGGGACCCTCCCGAGGAAACGGCGGTGTGCGGATCCGCGCCCTCCTTCAGGAGCCGGAGCGCTGAAAAATCGAAAGAGTAGGCAGTTACAGCACGTGCTTTGTCCACACCGTGAACCAAAACCTGAGCGTTTCCTTAATATCTAAAATGCAAACAGCCATAAAAGCCAATGCAGACTCGTTAACCGCCCTCTGACCTCACTTGCTGTACGTATGACTGGTGGCGTCTGTCTCCACATTCAAACTTATTCCTCCGTCTGTCAGTGTCATTTCTTATTACAGCTGAGCAAATCATTCAGAAAGGGGGACACGCTCTCACAGTTTATTGTTTCAACGTGTCGAGTTTGTATATCCTTTGTAGGGCAAAATAATAAAAAGAAATTACTTCACGAGGCTCATGGAGGCACTGGATCACTTAATTTTTATTTTTTAATCTCATTAGGGCCCACTGGCTTAAAACAGTTTGTACTCTGGACATGAAACTTCTCTTCCTGCGATGACCTCTTGGCAGGGTGTCCACCATTCCCAAGAAGGACTATGGCACAAAGCCATTTCGACCTAAGTTAATAATGCCAAATAGGTCAAAATAGATGCCAATTATCAGAGTAAATGCACAAGTGGAAGGTGACCTGTGTTTCCACCTGAACAGCAAAGGTGAATTCACTAGTACAAGGAATGCCACAGGCGTGAGGAGACCGATTGCCGTATTTTCCGCTTCTTCCAATGGGCTCTAGGACCAGCCTCACAGAAAGGCTTGTCAATTCCCCAAAGCACATTTCCGCAGTTAATAGCAGTATCACAGTCTTTTAATAAAAAGCCGTTAATGCATTTTCCACAAAAACTATAATTAAAGCACCAGTGACTCTTTTTTTCCCCATTATACCACAGACCGGTATTAAATGGCTCGGATTCAAACGCATACCTCACTGAGCATACTGTCTTTCCATGAAGTTTCTCTGTAGTCTGGAGTGTTACCTCATGTACCTTCTATTCTATGGTACCCCAAATCGTTCATGTGTTCCGATATCTAGTGTGTCACCACGTTCCCCAAAGCTAACCGCACGTCACGAGGGGCGCCATGGGTCCTGGCAGACATGGCTACCCCAGCTGTCCCCTCTCCAGGAAGGCCGTCTCGTTGATGACGTGTGCAGTGGGGGTGAAGAGGGAGACTGAACAGCCTCTCCAAAATGGGGGTGACGTGGAGACAGCAGAGACAACCCATACCCAGCCCAGTGTGCCCTCCAGAGAGCCATTCCCGAAGTTGGAGGGCCTTTCGTCCAAATCTCTCTCCCCAGGGAAGTCAGACACGCCCCTCTGCCCTCTCAACTGCGGCAACACTTGGCTCCTTGGATCTGCACCCCTTCACTTCAGTCCGCTCCCTGAAAGCTGTCCTCAGTAGGAGTCTGTCCACATCTGTTCACCTTCCAAGTGGCTTCCCCTTGAGTATGTTCTTTCTCCAATTAAGAATTGAATTCTTTTCATAACATAGATTCTCCTAATGTTGGTAGTTTGTGACAAAATAATTTCTCCAAGACCGCATTCTTACAGGATCGAGTGTAACCTGACATGGCGTGGGGCGACCATTGGCTTACTTGGGCGTCTCTGCCCTCAGCCAGCAGGAGAACATCCAGGAAGGTAAGTCCTTTGCCTTTCTTGTCCTCGCTGTATTTCTAGGAGCTGTCCTGCCATGTGGTTTGCAGGTGCCCTTTCTCCCTCCCGTTCCCTGCTCTCTCTATGCACACATATAATAAATGGACGCACTTCCTGCTCCCTCACATACTTCTTGCCCTTAATTTTGAACAGTCCATTGCCAACAACAGACAGTTAATTAAATACATTTACCTATGGTTTCCTCAGAAGATAAATAGCACTTATACCCAAATGTTTACTTTTTTAGCAAACGAAATTATTCACCTTGAATTAACTAATATCAACACAGTGCTTTAAAGTTTTCATAGCAAAGCACTTATACTTACAAATACAGTATGAGGCAGATTTTATTAGAAAAACATTCATAAAATGCTGTCAGATTTTTTTTTAAAGATTTGAGAGAGAGAGAGAGAGAAAGCAGGGGGTAGGGGTAGAGGGAGAGGCAGAGGGAGTCCCAAGCAGACCCCGCACTGAGCAAGGAGCCTGACACGGGGTTCGATCTCACGACCCTGAGATCGGGACCTGAGCTGAGACCAAGAGCCCGACACCCAACCGACGAGCCACCCAGGCGCCCCTGCTATCAGATTTTTGAGTAGACTCCACCAGGCACATGTATGTGAATTATACATAATAGAAGTCAGTGAGACACTGGCCTTGGGCATCCACAGATTTGGCTATGAGGCCCCACTGGGAGAGCTACTGAATTCTCTGTGCCTCAGTTTCCTCTCAGTTGAACTCACGCCATGGGGGCACTGACAGGAGTGAATGAGCCAAGAGAGCCGCATGTTAATCATGCCTCCTGGCCCTCGGTACGGATCTCCAAATGATTCCTACTAGTATAATTACTCTACGTCACGAAACCCCAAGATAACATATCCTAGAATCCATAACTTAAGGTTTGGGGCCTGGGTGGCTCAGCTGGTTAAGCATCTGCCTTCGACTCGGGTCATGATCCCAGGGTCCTGGGATCGAGTCCCGCATCGGGCTCCCTGCTCGGCGGGGAGCCTGCTTCTCCCTCTGCCTGCCACTCTGCCTACTTGTGCTCTCTCTCTCTCTCTCTGTGTCAAATAAATAAATAAAATCTTAAAAACAACAACAACAAAAACATAACTTAAGGTTTATTCTAAATTTTCTCAAAACCTTCCAATTTTTAAATGTTGAATGTAAGTGTAGGACATAAACCACGCAGATTTAGCAGCAGTCTCTTGGTGGACGAGTGTGTAATTTATCAAGCACGAAAGGGGTGAGGAGCACTATGCGGGAGGCAGTGAAGAACGGTGAGCATGCGGGGGGTGGGACACAGCACGTGGCTCGGAGGACTGGCCCAGGGAGGACACGGCAGGCACATCACGCTACAGGACTCGGACACCAGTTTGTGGGCAACAAATGCCGGCCAGTCAGCCCTGAGTACTCTATATTTAGTTATTTGTAAATAATTTGCTGTCGAGGGTACAGTGCCAACTAAGCAGGCTGGGACAGAGTGCATGCCACACGGCAAAGGGAGGGGTCTATGGAGCACTGACACCATGTCCAGGGAAACCAGTTTGTAAGGTGCTGAAGATGGATGGGTCAATCACAGGAGCAAGGAGAATACCGTGGTGTGGTGGTGAATGCTCCAGGATGGACAAGGATGGAGATCTAGATGTCTAGATGGATGAATGGACGGACAGATGGACAGACGGATGGAGAGAGAGATGGACAGACAGATATGCATTTATGAGTTTACTACACATTTTACTGATACAAAGGCTGTGTAGCCCACAATTTACAAATAATCAGATACATAGTACTCACGATTGTAAATGCCATCTGGCCAAATGATTCTCACAGAATACTTTTGATGATTTTTGTTGAACTCTTATATCCACAGCCAGTCTGTGGTTACAATTAGTGCACATGACCTTGACATCCTGGTGGATATTTTCACTGACTTAATGAGTAGAGCCAGGGGTGAGCAAACTATGGCTAGCAGGCCAAATCACGCTCTGGAATTTATACAGCCTTTGAACTAAAAATGGTTTTTACATTTTTAAAGGGTGTGTAAGAAAAAAAAACAAAACAATGAAAAACAACCAAAAAAATCCAACAAGAATGGGCAACATGGACTTTAGGTAGCCTGCAAAGTTTAACACAGCTACTATCTGGCCCTTTACAGAAAGTTTGCTGGCTTCTGAGTAAGATTAAAATGAAACAATGAAGTGTGTCAGATGTCGCTCATTTATCAATGACCTGACCTGACGGACATCTTTGGAAGTAAGATAATGGTTTTTGAACAATGTATCATATTGTGTCAAATTTTTGGTCCTGACATAACACATCTGTAAGTACAGCCCTGCATGAACATGGCCTTCAAAACTTCTTAATTCTAGACGAGCAATAAGACAATAGATCAAGCCAGCTTCCGTGGTGTGATTCTCCTATCTCAAGCTGCCAATGTGATGTCACTGAACCCAGGGTTGGGAAAAGATGTGACATAGCACATGATTATACAGCATTTCCACCACCCACCACAAGACATGCAGGTGACTTCAAGGGCGTAAATGAGAGAAAAATGCAGTGAACTAATTAGGAAGTGATGAGTCTTGAGTATTATTCTTTTTAAAAATATTTTGTTTATTTATTTGAGAGAGAGAGTGAGCACGAGCGGAGGGGTAGGAGCAGAGGGAGAAGCAGACTCCCTGTTGAGCAAGGAGCCCCATGCGGGGCTCCATCCCAGGACCCCGAGATCATGACCTGAGCCGAAGGCAGATGCTTAACCCACTGAGCCACCCAGGCGCCCCTTGTGTATTACTCTTTATTACAATCTACTTAATTGTAAGTTTATATATTTTAATTTTTACGATAGGCGTTGTTTAACTGTTTCACAGCCAACTGACAAATTCCTGAAATTTTAACAACTGGTTCTCAGGGTCTGGAAGGGCAAGCTCAGCGAACCACTGGGAGCAGCCTGAGGTCCTTAAGGAACGTGTCCAAGAACATCCAGGAATGACAAGGACACTACACCCAAGAATTCCAGAACTTCTTGCCACAGTGACAGACAAATAAGTCCTACCCCTCTTGACTGGGCCACACCTCAGCCTAAGGAGAAAAGAGGAGGGGACAATCTGAGCATAATTTTTTCCCCTAGATAGAAGGGCTGTTTTCCAAAAGGGCTGTTTACATTATCAGACAGAACTAAGAACCACGGAGGGCATGCTGACTGGGTTGCCCCTGGATACCATGGTGGGGACTCAAGAATAAGACAAAATTAGCTGTTCACAAAATAAATGTTTTTCACATAAACACACACACAAATTGTAGAGTGAGCTAAATTCTATGTCTGCCAAGGGTTAAAACTGGACACTGTGAAGTACCTAGATATAAAGACGTAATGAAGAAAATTCCATTTGCATAATAATTCATTCATAACAGAG